TGTGTGTGTGTGTGTGTGTGTGTGTGTGTGTGTGTTTTAACAGTGCCATCTACCATTTGTTTTGTGTGTGACTATTTCATCAAGCAGATGGAGGTTAATCTCAAAGGATGGAGGAAGTAATTACATGTAAAAGAACAAAAATGCATACAAACCCAATGAAAGAGAGGACGAGACGGAGACACTCGTTTTTGTCATGCTGGTACTGAATGTAGGTCAGCGAGAGCCCAAAGGCCAGAGCTGAAATTAAGAAGCCCTGACAGGCTCCCCCAGCTCCTCCTCCCTCCCTCCCTCCTCCTCCCCCTTCATATACTGTTTGTTTTTCACCTTCTCTGCATCTTCCATCCCTCTCTTCACAACATCCAACACAATGCTCTGCCATCTACATCTCCATTGTTCTCGTAGTCTTTGTCCCATCCTCTTGTACGACACCTCAGACTGTCGGCACATGGACCCTTGCACTTTTTTTTTTATTAATGAGCTGATTCACATGAATACATATGATACACAAAATGTCTTCTACTCTCTCACAGGAGATTGTCCTGAGTATAATTGTGTATGATCATAAGATTCTTTGGATTTACAGCACAAATGCACTTGAGCTGGCTCTGTATATTGTGGGGCTGTTGAAAATGAGTAATTTCTTACAGACATTTAAAGTATGTGACATATAATTGGTCTCATGCAGCAACATTCATAGTTTTACAAAATGTATCATCAAGATACATTAAGAATTATGACCTAATTCTCATAATTTTAGGAGTTTCTTCTCAATTCCAATTTTATTCTCGAAATCTCTTTTTTCAACATGACCCTAAAAGTGTTTCCCTGAATTGTTTGGTTTGAAGGTTATCTTGTGAATTTGACCGTGTTGTCCCTCCTCACCTTCATAGTAGTGGTCCTCCACTGTGATGATGCGTCCTCTGGTTGCCCTGGCGTTGTCAATGATGGTCTTGGAGTCCAGGGGTTTGATGGTGAAAGGGTCGATCACACGGATGTTGATTCTCTCTGAGGGAGGAGAGGGGAGGATGCACCTTTAGCCTATTTGACGCTTCGTGTCAAAGTCAACTTGGTCCTCAGATATCGAATCAGAAATGGAAGCTATGACACGATATGCTGGATTTTACAGTGTTTGTATGCTGTCATGAGTTGGTTTTATTTATCTTTGTCTCTGTACCTTTCTTCAGCATCTCAACAGCAGCCAGAGCCTCATGAAGGGTCACTCCTGCTCCGACCACAGTCACATGATCATCGTTGGTTTTGTACACAACCTGAAGAGAAGACATATTTGATGAAGAAAACGTGCACAAGTCAGATTGTGGTAAATCATGATGGATGAAAACAGAAAAAAGTTACAAACATAAATAGGTTTAATTCAGTTTTTTGAACGATGGTAACAGGTGAAAAGAGCCGACACGAACCTTAGCCTGACCAACATGGAAGTCTTCATTGCAGTTATAGATCATGTTGTTCTCTGGGCGACTTGTTCGGATGTAACACAAACCCTAGAAAGAATCTACACTTTACTTTTGGCACAAACAGTTGATCTGATATTATACTTTTCTTTTTCCCTTATTTTTTATGACAGGTGTCAATGGAAACCTTTGTATTGGCTGCGAGCTCCACGGCCTTCTCAGTGGAGACACCGTCGCTCGGGTAGAAGACGGTCGCAGTGGGAATGGCTCTGAACATGGCCAGATCCTCCAGACCCATCTGAGAGGGTCCGTCTTCGCCTGAACACACACAGCAACAAACAGACAGAAGTCAGGTACGGTAAGACTGAAACGTTCACTAAAGGCTGGGAAATAAATTCAAGTAGACTGGCATGCATGCATTCAATCTGCAAACGTGAGCATGCAATATACCTGACGAGGTGGAGGAGAAGGAGAGAGGGGAGGAGGAGGAGGAGGAGGAGGAGGTAAAAGAGAATCAGGCCGCTCTGTCGTCACCTTCATGACACACAGAGATGGAGAGAGGGATGGAGGGAGGAGGGGAAAAGGAGTGCTGATACCGGAGGTGAGAGGACAAAAAAAGTTTAGGATTCAGGGAAATTAAGACAAAAGACATAGTGTAGGAGGAGTTCAACCCACTGCAGTGAAACTGAGGAACAGCAAAGAATGAAGGATTTACGCAAAATCTACTAAAAGGATTTACAACGAAACGTGGTGGAGGGATGAGACATTGGCCAAGAACCCATTACATTTTATTTTTCACTTTCTTTAACATCGTTGGATAGGATGTGTTTGTTTTAAACATTTTTAATTTCCTGTGGAGCTTGATGAATAAAATCAGATAAATGGTCTGTATTTATATAAAGCGTTTTAGTCTTGATGACAACTCAAAGTGCTTCACACTATTTTCACATTCTTTGTCATACATCACTAAAACACTGTTGGCAATTCTCTGTTTTAAGATACTTTATGATAAAGCAATATTTAATTTTAAAACATATTTAAAATCAGTAGACTCTTCTGAATTTACTTTGACCAAGATATTAATTTGGAAAATCAGTTTTTTATATCCTTCAGTGGGCTGAATCAGACTAAACCAGAAACTCACCAAACAGAATTTAAGAAAAAGGTGTAGTGAGAGGACAGAAGAGTTATAAAGTGGAGGAACTGATAATAAACACATTTTTGCTGTGGTCAAAAACATCTGTTTATGACCCTAATTTTAAATCAGTAATGTCACGTTTATCTTTCAACATCATAACAGGTCATTTCAATCAGATGATTGGTGGACAGACAGGGTGGGCACTGACCAATGGAGACGCCGCAGTGGGAGCCGCAGAGGTTGATGTTGCTCTCAGAGATGGCGGCCATGCGCAGCTGGTCGTAGGCTCGAGAGAAGAAGGTGGCGAAGGTGCTGGCGAACACCACGTTGCGGTCGCGCACCGCACAACCCATCGCCACGCTCACCTGTGGGAGAGGAAAGGGAGACAATCAGGGGGGAAAGGGAGGAGTTAAGGTGGGAGAAAACAGGATGTGTGTGTCAGAGATCATCAGTCATAAGATTAATTCGATTTTTTTTTTAACATTATTAAATGAACACTTCGTCACGATCGTTTTCAACACGATCCCTCTTGTATCACTTTGGTGATCATCTCTTGTACACTGGCTTCCTCAGAGAGGAGACCGAAGTGTCTTAGCTTGTGTCCAGTTTGACACAAGCGCTGCTGGAGCTTTGACCTCACCACATAGTCCTTGGCCTCAGCTGCACTCGGTGTTTAGAGGTAATTAGCAAAGGTTAACATGCCGAAATAAGATGAAGGTGAACATCAAACCTGCTCAGCCTCTATCAGCCTCTCAGCAGTGTCAGCAGTGCCGAGGTTTAGAGCTCAGCCTCACAGAGCTGCTCGTGCGGCTGTAACCTGCTATTCTGGTTTGAATGAGCCTCAATAAACAAACCGTATTTTACACTAAAACATTACTCACTTAAATATGAGTTCAAGATAAACCTGTTCTCCCTTGTAAACCATAGCCAAGAGGAATTTTACAAATATTAACTTTCAAATCGAGAAGTGAATACAGTTCATAATATGAAACAATTTTTGAAATACTGGTCTTTTTTTCTTTTACTAAGGTTGACTTCACATCTTGACATCTGTTATAACACTAAACCTTTTTTAAAATATATTATAATTACAATATTCTCTGTTTTAGTGACTTTTGAACTTCATGTCTTATGTTCTTGGTCTGTGCTGTGGTTCGAAAGCTCTCCTCTTTGTTTCTCACCATGTTCTGCTCTGCGATGTAACACTCCACGTAGCGGTTGGGGTGTTCGTTCTTGAAGAGCTCGGAGAAGGTGGAGTTCTTTGTGTCTCCGTCCAGAGCCACCACATGCTCGTTGTAGCGACCCAGCTTGGCCAGAGCCATGCCGTACGCCTTCCTCGTAGCGATCTGGTCACACAGGGACAAATGGATCAACACATTCATGACCTTCTGCTGTTAATTACTCAGGTTACACAACTTGGCTGTTGTTGCTCTTGGCCTTATGTTGGCTGCCACCTCTGATCGTACCTTGTCTCCAGATTTGTAGCTGGGTGCGCTTGGCATGCGGATGTTGCGGAGGCTGACGGATGACGCATCCTCGGTCGGCGGAGCAGGATAGAGGCGCTTGTTGCAGTTGATGATGCGGCCCTGCAGCTCTTTGATCATGCTCTCGGCCATGTCTTTGGGCAGAGGTTTGCCGTGCCAGCCCATCTTATCCTCAGCCACTGACACACACACATAGACACACATCTGAGCACCAATGCATATTTAAAACACTTGTTTTCTTTACCATTCTGTTATTTTGGTGGATTTCTTACATTAACCCCAAGTAACAAAGAAGTACACATGACTCAAAGGTCTGACTCCTCAGTATTGCAGATCATTTATCCCCATGCAACCCTGCTGGCACTTTGAGATCCTCTAGCAGGAGCCTTTTAACTGTTCCAGATTCTAGACTAAAGACTTTGTGGGACAGAGATTTTGAAATAGACTTTTATTAACATCTGGCCTGAGAAAATATGACAGGCTGTGTCGGTATCTTCCTTCGAATCAAAGCTTAAATCATACTTTTTTGGACCACGTTCCCTGATTTCCTTTCTAGCTTTTATAATTGTAATGGGTGACCATGCTTAATTTTCACAAGTTTAGAGTTTTATTCTTTAATTCAATTATTTATGACCAAGTTTTTATTTGTTTTTGTGTTATTGTTTATTTATTATTAATTAATTTGTATTTTTTGATGTGCGAAACACGATGGATATGAAGAAAAATAACAATAAAACACTTTTACAGAGTAAACAGTCGTAAAATTCTTAAACGCAGCCGACAGCTAAATGATTAAACAACTTTAATGATTAAACATAATCCTGAAAAGACACTAGTGACCTGTACACATCTGTAGTATTGTCCTGAAAATAAAAAGTACATATACTCTATAAACCAAATTCCTCATGTCATCCTGCATATGCATCTCTTCCACATGCTTGTGCATGCACGTGAAAACGTACATAAAATAAACCATGCTCGGCAAATTTCTACCTCAGTGGGTCACAACAGGCGACTTCAGAGGTCAAAGGTTAAAATCATGAGACAGTTTTACTTTTGTCACTTCTGACAGAATCCTAAATAGATAAAGACCTACTCCTCTCTTATACAAACACCTTGCTGTTACAAGCGTGCTTCGCACACACACATAAACAAACATTGGGCACACACACTCCCCCTTACTCTTATCACAACTCCAGCACAATGGCCTATTGCTGTGAGTGAATCCTACACATTCTGAGGTATTATCGAGCTGCGGCAGCTAAATCACTAAAGCGCTTTCAGGATTACAGCGAGTTTAGCGCCTCTCTGCACCGACGACATGCCCCCGGGGGCCGTCAAGAACACTTCTGACGGAGCCATTATTCCCTGTCAGTCCTCACAATTCTACCTAGTCATCGTTTTCAGAGCAGGTTAGAGTGAAACACCCGGTGTCACGTTATGCACATGGGATGTACTTCAGGCGGCCCCTCGCTTTCTAACTTGGTTGAAGGATGTGGTATGGGTCAGGGAGGAACCCACTAAACTTTGTTTGGATTTTGAGCAGGGAGTGGATCCAGGAATGTTTTTTGACATTGCAAGATAAGACTTTTTTGGCACTTTGCAAAAAAATCTGATATCTATGAGTTTGTGAACTTTGGTGCAGCATGATTGAATTTAAGGGGACTGTTGGAGGTACGCGCTCCACTGAGTGTGACTGGTTGTACCTGACATGCCCTTGCCCTTGATGGTCTTGGCGATGATGGCAAGTGGCTGGTGGCGGGGCTGACTCAGCACCTTACACAGCTCCTCCACACTGTGGCCGTCCACAATGACAGCGTGCCACCTGGGAAAACACCGAGATCAGACTTTAAAAGCAGTCCCACAGATACATAACTATAACAATCCTTCTGGAGTTCACGCAGGTTTCTAAAGTCATCACCACCACACTGTATTGTAGCAGCATTATGGCTTTTTACTGCAAGAGTGACAGGGAGGACAGGCAGAAGGTCTGATGTGACCCCAGCTCAAACACGCAACTGTTTCAAACACATGAAACTGCATGCTGACAAAACACTAAAATATAAAAAATCTTACTTCACAGGAATTAATCTGAAGATTTTTATGTGAACAATCCATCAAGTTTCCTAGAGGTCAGGGTGATGTCTTCACATGACTTATGTTTGATAGTAATTTAAAACTGAGACGTTTTCAACAAATGATGACATAAAACCAGAAAATCCTAAAAAATTACCAGCTGGAACAAGTTGATTTTTGCCTTTTAGTTTCATTAATAAAAAATGATTGAACCAATCGAAGACATGCTGTGGATTATTTGTCCTAATCTAGTAACATTCCATCATTAAAGAGCTCAACACCCGCCCTCCTCACCACCCTCTCATCCTCTGACTCCCCCCCTGCTCACCCAAAGGCCTCACAGCGCCGCTGGTACTTCTCCACATGGTGCTGCAGCGGAGTCGGTTCACTCTGACCCAGGCGGTTGATGTCCAAGATGGCCACCAGGTTGTCCAGCTGGTAGAAGGAGGCGAAAGCCATGGCCTCCCAGACTGAGCCCTCGGACAGCTCTCCGTCACCCAGCAGGCAGAACACGCGATAGCTGCAAACAGACAGTAAGATAGAAGTGAAGAGATCAGAAGTCTCAGCTCCTTGACAGATTTTCTCATTCTCAATTTCTTCCTGTAGGGGTTGACGTTAGAGATGACCCTGCACACTTACACACACACACACACACACACACACACACACACACGCCCTTCACCCCCCTGCAATGCTCAGATCATCCTCGCTATATGCTCCCGTGGCATAACGACTTCTGACAGCTTTCCAGTCAAATAGACACATTCTCATTAAAGCTGGAAGATCAGCCGAGACATGTCGCATTACACCACGCATTCCAACTCCGAGTGCAACGAAAAAACACACTGTGAAGACAGAAAAGAGAGGAGGAGGAGAAGAAAGAGAAGAGATATTTTCAACAGAGGTGGAGATGGAGAGAGGGAGGTAAAAGAGAGTCAAGACTAGAGGGAAGAGAAAGACGACCATCCTACCTGTTTTACAGGTTCTATACATTTTTCAAATGGCCCTTTGTAGATCTTTATAAAATCTTTAACAGAGAATAACGTAAATAAGTTAAATTTTGAAAACTTTTTACAAGGGAGAAGTCTGAAGAAACAACAGGGCCAGGACAATAAAGCTTGTCTATACTCGTACTGATATTCATTAGTTTGATTTTATTATTAGTTTTGTTATTGTTAGTATTTATAACCAGATACAGTACAAAAGTACACAAGTTTATTACTGTGTTCAAACGTCTCTGAAAGGTTCCACTCCTGTGGAACCATCCTACACTGTGGGTCGAGGAGGCAGAGTCACCGTCTGTGAGGTTTGTCTTGAACATTCCTCTAGTTATGCCGTTTGTTTGACAGAATGTGGTGACGCTGGCAGGGGGACTTCCCATGATGCACTGAGCTCCTCTTGCCTTGTCTCATTCTCTACAAATTCATATCTCATTATGTTACTAGCTCGGCTTATTCTCTCTCCTCCTGTTGTTGATATTTCTGCCTCTGGAGCTGCGGAGTCCAGATTAGTGACTGTAAAACACCCCCCACCTGCTCCCATGATACAGCTCAACAACCGCTACAACAATTACTATTATCAGTCTTATTATTACATTCATTATGAGAACATAGAGACCGAGAGGAATCTGGTTCAGTGACAGAAGTAAAGTCATCCCTCAGGATTTTGTGTTTGTGTTTCATATCAATCTGTCCTGAGGTGAGAATAACAGATCAGTAAGGTGCTGCCCCCCCTTAAAAACTTCCCCCCACCCCCCCACACCCTTTAAATGCTTTTATGAGATTATGACATAAAATTTTAATCTTGATATCCAACATTTTTTGGGACACACACACACACACACACCCCTGTCTCATCGTGTCACCCACACCATTCCACTCTGCCAACACAGAGCCAAAGCACTTCCACTCGATACACTCGGTGTTAGGTTGTATTATCCCCTGGAGTCGGTGCAAAGTGTGAGGGAGCATGAAGAGAAACCTCTGCCTGCGTTTAATCCAATAATCTCATATTTACAACAGCACACTATTGAACCAGAGTCACACAAGCATGAAACAGTGACGAGTATCAATTATTCAGCCTCGTCTCCGCGCTGCTGATAAGTGCATGTGACATGTTCGTCCATGTATCGTTTCTTTAATAAAACACACACTCTGGGAACCTGAAGAGGTCTGTCTGCTTGTTTGTAGGATTTCTTGTTGAGACAATATTAATGTGTGAAGGTCGTTATAATTGCCCAACAGTCTTTGCCTCTGATTAGGCTCTGAAACCTCAAAGTGAGTGAGGTTTGCGCCGATAGGTTGCAGCAAATTAGCTTGACAAGCTCCGAGCCTTGCATGGGGAAGCGCACATGCTTCTGCACAATTACACGCAACGTATGCAATCGCGTGCATAGTGTATTCAGTCACATCCCCAGCGTATGCATAAACCTCTCTTTTTTGGGAGAGGAGATGAGGTGACAGGGTGAGGCAGAGGGATGAGGGAGGAACTGTGCTCTTGCATGTGTAATTATTGGAGCAGAAACAATTGAGTGCACACAGAATGCAGAGAGAGCGAGAGCTAGATATCAAGGGCCCGCCATCACAGACTGCAAGTCTGCCGTTTGCTGACCGCCCGTTTCAATGCATCTGCTATGTGCAAAACCAAAACTGCCTTTCAGACCATCTCTGTGTGTTCTGTGCTCAATGAAAGACAAAAAAACGATGCTCCTGAAAAGTTGAGGTTCGGCCCAGATGCTTTTGTATCACATCATGCTTCTGTAACAATGTCAGAGGAATGTGTTGTGGGCTTGTATAGGCCTCACAACTCCATGTGTCTATTGTTGGAGTGGAACCCACATGGCTCTTTCTAGACCACACGAGAACAAAGGGGGACACATGTGGACTGATCTGTTAGAGCAAATAACGTTTGACTAAAAACTGCTTTACAGGCTCTTTAATATATTTGGATGTAATTTGATTTAATATTATAGAGCGGATTTCACAGACTGTATATAGCAGATACAACAGACTGTTTATGGCAGATTCCATTGACTATACTCATGCTGATGTGTAGGTAAAACTGATCAGAGGTCAGCTCTCCTGACTGGCTACCTAAATGTCATCCCAGACCAGGTCTGTCACTGAAGGTTTCACTTAAGCTCCAGGCTGAAATGTCACATGTCAGCACGCTGCACTGCAGTGTACATGTCATGCATAATTTCATGTGGTCCACTTTAGTATGTGCAGATACGAGCTGGGCTGCTGCATATGTGACCTGTGTATGTTGGAGCATCTCAGCATGAGGCTGTTTTTCTTTGTACGTGTCATGACTTATTTCTCTGGACTCTCTAGTGTTTGGACTTTTTGCCTCTTTTATGAAGGGTGTTTTCATTTTGATTATGGACTCCTTGCTTATTGTATCTATACCTGTGTTTCCCTTATGTTTGGGTTTGTGTTCTCTGAGTTTTCCATTTGATGTTGTAGATTTGCTCCTGGTGTGTTTCCTTGTTTTCAGATTTGTTTAACTCTGTGTTCCACTCAATGTGTTCCACTCTGTGTTTCATTCTGTTTCCTGTTTTATTTTGTAGTTTCTGTTTCATGTGTGTTTTCCACCTTGACTTCCTGCCTTGATTAGTTTCAACTGTTTGTCCTGTGCCACCTGTCTCTAGTGTGTCATCAGTTCAATGTGTATATGAATCTCTTCATTCCTGGTCGTCTTCGTGCCGCCTCACGCCATCACCCTCTCTCCTTCACTCGTGAGTTACTAGTGTTTTCTATGTTTTTCAGTTTAGCCTGATTGGTGTCTTTCTCAAGTTGATTTTCTGTTTATGGATTTTGCCTAATTAAAGGACACTTTTGTTAAGTTTTGCCTCTGCATTTTTTTTGGGGTCCACCTGCTATAACTGGACAGAATGTGTTTTTATACGTGTGTTTGTGTGTATGTTACCTGGCCTTGTCAAAGTACTTCCCGGTGTATGCCATCCCACAGGCAGCTCCCAGCCCCTGACCCAGAGATCCAGTGGCCACATCCACAAACTGCTGCTTCTGTTTGGCACACACCATCACACACAAATGTTTCTTATTCTACACAATGTAGGAGAGCTCAAGTTTGTCAAGACAGAAAACATGAAACACAGTGGGTGGATTACTCTTTTACAGTTGGTGTCTAGTCTGCAACATTGTCTGCAACAGAAGAGAAAGGAACCAAGGACGGACCATCTCTCACACAAGAACATCTTTGTCACTGTGTCCCTGCATGTACACAATGTGTTGTCTGTGTCTTCATGTCTCTATGTGTAGATTGTCTGGCATGAAGACGTAAAACTATATTTTAGAGGGTAAAGGCAAAAACTAGACAAAGAATGTAAACCTGAGTTTTGTGCTGCAGAGTTAGAGACCCAACCTCTAGGATAGTCTCAGTCCATTGGTTTGGAGCCACTGTTCAATAGCTCATTGCTGCTGGATGTTTGTAGGGAAATGTGTGAAATATGCAAACTATTTCTAAATGAAGGAATGAGACAATACTGAAATTCATTTTGGAATGTTTCCTTGGTCTTGTCATTATCTTTTTAAGATTCAAACTTAACCTAAAACTGTATAATATTGTGATACCGTGTAAAATTGTGAAAAATCATACAGGAGTAGACTGAACTTATTTTAAAGGGATATGTAGGTTCTAAATTCATTAAAACAAGTGTAAGTAGTTGAACAGCAGGTTATGAGGATTGTTTTATTGTTGATTTGCACAAACACAAATTCTTTGTAAATTAGTGAAACCTTTTGTATGGAAGTCCAACCCTCTTGTGAACTACTTTTCACAAAATGCTTGTTGGTAAAATATTTTCACAATATTAAGGCACTCATGTTGTTTTATTGAATATATCAGATTTCAGATCCAGAACATCCTGTAGGTGTGAATGTGACCTCACCGGCACCGGGTGTCCTTCCAGGATGGAGTCGACCTTGCGCAGGTTGAAGAGCTCGTTCTCCTTCAGGTATCCGGTCTCTGCCCACACTGCGTACAACACAGGAGCTGCATGACCCTGAGGAGGCAGAGGGAAAAGATCGAAGGTCAGAAGTGTCTCATCTGTGTTATTACGACATGTGGTGCAGATCACATAATGTGTAACTTGTCTGCTGGTGCTAAAGCTAGAACTGATATCACAGTTAATGTAAATCATGTTATCAAATCTCTAATTTATATTTTTCAATCAATAGAGCTCAAACCTGAACCAAGGGTTTCCTAAATGAATGATATGAGAAATGACAAATTAAATGTCATTCTAAAGTGTGTGTGCATCAAGCTAAGCAAAATAAAGTCTAGAATTGGGTTCTGGCTCTTGCTGACATAAAATAATTTATAGTATCACAGTTTAACATATGTGTCAAGTGACACAAGCAGTGGTGGATCTAGGATGTTCCTAAATTCTTAATTATGTTAGAAAATAAGATTTTTTTTTCTATTTAAGAGCACTGAAAGTACAGGGGCACTTCAGAGCCAATCAGATTTCAGCTAGCTTTATATATCAGATGTTGTGTATGATGCCTCACAGTAACACACGGCCCCCGTATGGATGTGTGTGGACGTGCATCATCACCTTGGAGAGGATGAAACGGTCGTTGTTGGGGTTGCGGGGGTCTTCAGGTCGGTACTTCATGGTATGAAAGAAGAGCACAGACATGACCTCTGCTACGCTGCAACATGATGTGGGATGACTGCAACAAAGGGTAGAAAGAGAAGAGGTATAGGATCACATGTTAGGAGCCTCCTCATTCTTCTGTTCAAATCTTAAGTCCACAGAGACACAGAGGAGGCAGGTGGACAGAAGGGACCAGAGGCGGAGTTTGACTCAACTCTGATTTAACTGGTTGATTCATGCCCCGACCAAGTCAGAGAGTGGAGTAAAGCAGATGGAAAGAGGAGTTTATCAGGGTCAGCCTGTCAGTAAGTACATACACAGTATCTCCCTCTCTCAAACACAGACATATATCAAACAGCGTAGATACGTTTGGAGGACGTGTCTTTCACTCTCTCTTGTACATGTGCACACATACAGTACATACAGTGCAAAGACATGATTCGGTGAGTAATCCTCAATTGTTAGAGTCATGACAACTTAACACAGTCACCAAAAAAAGCACCAGGCCAAAGTCTCAGTTTATTCAAGTGTATATTTCTGTATCAACATCTTAAGTGTACGATCATTGCTTCCCCTTGGTGTTGGATCCACTGATTAAATGACAAAAGCAATTAATTATCAGTTATCCAATAAGGAAAAAACACAAATATTTCATCTTATGAGCAGTTTGAAATCAAAAAACAAATTTGGTAATATTCCAGATTTTGAATTAGATTAACATTTCACTAATATTTCAACAGGAGGAAGAGCTGAGCTTGAGACATGAGTTTAAAGAGCTTTTTACACAGCACACATCCGTTTGAGATTATTCATGGTTTATATTACAAAACTCAAAACTGGAAATTTCTATTGATTTATACTTTTTGATCGACATGGAATCAGCTTCTCAAGACTCAGACCTGTGGACACAGATGTGCTTCAGTTCTGAGTCTACTCATTCAGTCAGTCACTACAAACCTTTCTCATGACTGAAGAGTACTCCAAGATCTCAGTGATCAATTATCAAACACTGGACAGAAAGGAGAGCATTTGTGGAACACTGCCCATCAGATGTTCAGGGACATGCAGAGATGACATAGTTTCACACTTCCTATTTAATTTCATTAAAAAAGAACTTGCATTCCATTAGTCACTTCGTGTTTTATTTAAAAATTGCACACCGGACGTATTTTGCCTGTTAAATTCAGGCTGCTTGAATCTACTGTGAAGACAAGATGCAGCGGCACGAGCGCGTTCGTGCGACCCCCCCCCCCGGTTCCATTCCGCTGCCTCCGAGCACCACTTGGTTACACGCACGGCATCGTGCACCGATCCGGTCCCCTCTGTTACATAACCAGTCACAGTGTACAAGGGTAAAGAGGGAGAGTGGACCACTGGTGCACCTGCAGCAGCTCATGATCGAACCCGCACATACGAGTCGATCTGCTAAATGGTTCAGTGTCTGAACACTTTATTACATGTGTTAAATCCAGCTGCTCTCTGAAACTCGTCAACCGAAAGAAGTAAATTAACTCTTTAAACCGAACTATTTCAGGACTGGTGCGTAAATTGCGCACAAGGCTGACCCATTTTACGCACAGTGAAACTATAGAAAATGTTTCCGTTTACGCACGTTATGCGACGCAAAGATTCAAAGACTCTGCTTCAAATGATTCGTAGCTTTACGCTGCAGCTCCTCCTGCACGTCTGCTGGGTACACTGTGTCCATCATGTCTTATTTTCCCTTGTTACGCATTTCTCCTCTACTTCTCGGATGTGTCCTTCAATCACTATCACCTAGAGGAAGCGTATAGAAACTGACCCAGGACAGTGAGTCCTATTTGTTTCGTCCCGCTTCTAAAAAACTGCACCTGCAGCTCGGTGTCATTTCCCCGCACCTCTCCTCTTACCCGCTGCCCGCTGCAGTTGTCGCCTTGATGGAGTTGATCCGGAGCCGGGTGGCGATGTTCCTGAGCGCCTGCACAGTCTGCTGGTCTGGTTTGTGGTAGTCCTCCATCTGGCCGATGCACACGCACACACACACACAGAAGTTGGTTAAATGGAGTTAAGAGTTAAAAGTCCCCGGTTTGCTGTCCCGAGAATAAAAGGCGATGATGAGTGTGCGTCGGACGATGTCAGGGGTTAAAAAGAGGCAGAGCAGCTGAACCTGAGAGAGACGCAGAGGGGCGGAGGAGGAGGAGGAGGAGGGGGGACGGGGCGTGTTCGCGAGTAAAGCCTATGAATATGGCTAATCTCGGGCTAAAGTGAGCCCACAGTTGGTCCACCGTGTCACGCAGGAGCGCAGCCAATAGGAGGGCGGCTTTGGGCCGAGGCCAAGGCCACACGCGTGCGCGCAAATCCACGTTCACACACTGTCAAGCTCCACAAAGCATCTAGATGTTGGCAGCGACAGACAGGACACAGCTTTAGGTCGAAGAATTGTAGGCAAACCATAGGAAACAGGAAAAAAAACAGCTTTGGAGCATAAATATGAAATGTGAATTTTGCAGATGAAGAGCAAAAATAAGATGAAACAAAACAAAAAATATGAATTGAAATAGTCGGTAAGATCAGAACTAAAAAAGAATTAATTCCCATATTCATGAGAAAGCGCATCTATAAAATGCAGTAATATAAAGTGAGAACATGTGTGACTCTTAATTTGTAATAGTGGTCGTTCGTTGTAGTTGCACCATGTGGTCTGGATGTGAAACTGTCACATTTCCACACAAAGGATTTGAGTCTGGCGTTTGAAAAATGGCCTTAAATGATAAAATAAATCTTTAGGCTTTTACAATGAAAATATGACTATTACCAAATTAGGAGTCAACCCTTTTCACAAAGTATCAGTGCTCAAGGATAACATGATAATTTAGGGGGCAAAACTTTATTGATGCTCAAAAATTCTAGTGTAAGAATTTTTGAAGAGCAAATTAATTGAAGCTGCAGGATACGAGGAGGACGGATGGGTGACACGCAAAGGGAAGGATCACAAATGACAGTAATCTCTCCTTAATGACATTTCCCTGACCTGATTAGCTGCAGCACAAAGCAGCTACTCCTGCAACATGCACATTTAACATTCACTGATAACTGAGTTCATTTTGCTTATTGGGTTTAAAAAAATGTTTGTTTAAGCAAAGTAATGGTTTGTCTTGTTATTTTAAGAAATCTCAAGGCAAGGGTATGTTTGCACTGGCTGAGATGAACCTCATGTGGACAGCAGGGGGACAGTGATTCAAAGAGGACATGACACAAACTATCTTGGCCAATCAAGAAAATCAGGAGAAACATCCACTTCTGTTACTTCAGTCAGGCCTGATATCAACTGATTCCAATTTAGTGATAGCAGGAGTAAAGCTCACTGTAGGCGGTTAACAGTAGGAAGCTGGTACCATCTGGTGGCTAAACGCAGAAACTGCACCGTTATCCTGTGCTGAAAACAAAGATGTTCAGGAGGAAAATTTTGTAGTTATATATTCTCTTAGTTCATGTCGGCTCTATGTTAAACTGTGTAAAAAAATATTCAGTCACAAAATCCTGTAATATAAAAGTATGCATCGTTTCCTCTTTGAAGCTCATTTAGACAGCTGAATGTCACACTGCAAAAAAAAACAACAGCCAACTCCATTTTCAAATCTTTAATATCACAAAATAATCATAATAAACCAAATTTTGCACAGTGACAACAATCTCAGGAAATGAGAAAATGTATTTTGCAAAGACTTTTCCAAAATCATACCTCGGCTCAATCAATTAAGATAAATTATTTCAATGTAAAATAACATTAAAATCTTAAATATGTGAGCGGGATTTAAAAAATCTGTCCATTTCAAATCAATCTTCCGGTGTGCGTTTATTTAACCAACACAGGCCCGTGTTGGCCACAATCACCTCTGAAATGATAACAATGCACTGAAGTGTACAAATTGTTTGATTAACTCTCCAGCTGCGGACATATCCTCTTTTGCTTCCTAAATTTAAAAATATCAAAATAAAGGGATTAAGAAAATCAAGGTTAAACAAGTCTGAAGTGAAAAAATGTTGATCCGAGCTCAGAGGAAAACAAGACTGGCACATATAAACTTTAAATACATTCAAATAGCAGGACCAGATACAAAGTCATTGTGTAACAAACAAGATGAAACTCATATCACTCGTTCAGATATTTCCAATTTTAAATGGGGAAAAACATTTTCCAAATACACGATTTTTAAGGATTTTTTGACATGAAACTAAAAGAAACAATTTCTGCACCTTGTTGTTAACACAACTAAACAAAAATACACAGTTTCTACCTGGAATGATTTGCATACTGATGGTTTACTTGTCTGTACTATTGAACCAACTGCTGATATCACTGTACCACTTGTTAGAAAGCTTTATAACTTAAATCTTCGTGCGTATACATCATTTTCAGACTGTTTTCATGGTCTGATCTTTTTTGTGCTGAACATATTGTGACAACTGGACCAATAAAACTTGTTGTATGTGTTTAGAAATGCACACGCGCTAAGAAACATTTAAAATTATTGAAAGCTGATTTTTAGTTTGAAATCACCTTTCATTCCCACTCACTGTTGCACATGATGAGAAGACAGATCTACTTCTTCCTGTTCTGTGCTGCAGTAGCATTTTACTGCAAATGTGTTTTGTGTTTCAGTCACTCTGACTTAAGATGCAATTGTGGCTTGGAAAAATAAAAGTGGTAGCACGAATGGAGGTAGTTTGTATTTTTCATTATTAATTTGGACTACTAGTATATTTGAAACAGACTGGTGCTATCAAAAACACAACTGTCCCCTATATTTTTAAGCAATTTAACATTAAAGGGGTGAATGTAAACAAGAAGCAAAAATTAATAGCTATTTAGCTTTTTTTTGTAATACTTAAATTATGCATCTCTTGCAGAACGTTTTGTGTTCAGATAAACTTAGCTCAAGGTCCCATCGTCAAATCTCCCATAATGCTGGAGTCCCTAAAGGCATCGCGACAGTGGTCTATTGCACATTCTTCCTCAACAACAGAAAGTACTTGGAGCTCAGCTGGAGGCGGAGCCACACAGGCAGAGAATAAACTAAAAGAAAGATGAAGGATAAGAAGAAATGTGGAGAAAGGAAATGTAGCAAAGAAGCGAGTTAACGCATTAATCTGTCTTTGTGAACATGTCAAAGTCTTTGATGTAACAGAAAAGAAACAGCTGAGAGGAATGAATTCTTAGATTGTTTAGCTGCAAGTGCTGCTCCAAACACGCAAGGAACTTCTTTATCTTCCCTGAACAAGGGCTGAAAAGATCAATCATCTCCTCCTTATTAAGAGACTAATGGACAGTCCTTTTTCAAGCCACTATGTGGACAGTTTGTCTACAAGGATTCCCCAAACAGTTCTGAGGTCCCAAACACAGACGTCTTTCTCTCAAGTAGTCAAAGCTTAGGTGTTTTATAAGCGTTCATATACTCTCGCACTGCGAGAAAAGCAGTGTCAGTGGTTCTGAGCTGCAAAATCATCTGCTCAAAGTACAAATGTCAAATAGCTCAAGGCCACCGAAAGCTCCTCTGTTGTCCCCTCTCACATCAGCAACAGCTAAACTTTACCAGCACGTGGCCCAAAGTTTCATCACATTTCTTAAGTATAAAAAGAAAACCCCAGGCCACAGTGGGAGGTTTTATCTCATCCCTTTCTCCCACAATAGTTCTGGCTCGACGTACGCAGACAAAAGTCGTTCCATGTTGACATAGTCGCCAGGGCAGCATCAGTGTTCAGTAAAAGACTCAAACAGGATTAAACAGTTAGGCGCATGCTATAATAACCCTCAGAACACAGACATGTTTTGCAGAGTCGTGATGTACAGAGTGACAAAACCCTGTTCGCTGCACTTCTTCAACTCACATTAACTTCTGGCTGTCTCACATGTCACAAAGGGGTCGTGGCACTAAAAGTAACAGAGGTGGGCGGATGAAGTAGGACTATAGCTTCATGTTGCTGAAGTCCTTGGACAGAGTCTGCAGATAAGCATCGTGAATGGTGCTAAGGAAGTCTGCATCATTCTAGAGGGGGAGAAAGTAAAAAAGAGAATCAATGAACAAAACTACATGAGTGCGCTGTGTAGTTTAAAATGACACATGTTGTACTAGAACCTTTTACATTTTTTGTTTGTTTTCAGTTAAATCTATAACTTGGAGAAAGTTATAATAAATTATAACTAACCAGCTAACTTAAATTAAAAAAAATTGTACTTGAATTATTTAATTCTGACATAAAATTGTGTTTAGCTTTTTTCATGCTAACTGAAGCCAGCAGTACATTTATACATATACATTTATAAGCTCATGGTGTTACCTTGATGAGGTGTATCAGAGTCTCCTGTAGCTGTGTTTTGCTGCAGGGAGCTGGCGGAGGCTCTACAGCTCCTGTGGTGGTGGAGGGGGGCTCAGAGGGGGCATGGAGGACCACCGATGCTGCTGCTGTTGTTGTCATCTTACTGACGGACTGCTGGAAGGCGCTGGGGGAGAGAAGCACCGAAATCTCAGGTCCTTGAACAGCAAGACCTGGACTCATGGGGACAGCCTGAGAAAAAGAAAAACAGACAAAGCAAAGTAAAATACACGAGAGCAACTGACATGTAGTTGTATAACTATTCTGTTTTAGTATAAAAGTATATGTGAGAGACAGATACACGCAACCAGCAGCAAAGAAAAGCCTTCAACTCACAGACATGGGTTTGATCAGGTTTGGAGGTTGAGTGAAGACATCCATCTCTTTGCTGTGCTGGATAATGGGTTTCCCCATGGGCTCGTGGAAGCTGTGGGGTGGAACCAGTGTGCTTGGCAGAAAGCTGGGTGCGAGGATGGGTTTGTGGATGTCTGAATTCATGGATGGCACTGCCGATTTGAGGGTGCTTAATATTTCCTGCCCCAAAAAAGCTCCAGAGGCTGATGGTGATGCTGCAGCAGGGCCAGGGGGAGCAGTCCGCTGCTCTGAGCCAGCTGGAGGCACCATGAGAGGTGAAACTGAGCACAGAGGCTGGGGGTCTGACATGGGGACTACTGACTGGAAAACAGGGCTGGGATGAAGTGCATATGGAGCTGGGAGCAGGCCGGGGACTTGGTGTCGCTGGTTGGACCCGGGCTTCTGGATGTAGGCAGTAGAGGGGTCACCGGAAGCATTGGTGGTGTTCTGTGCAGGCATGGCGGGGAGTGAGGGGTCCTTGGGGAGGGACGAGCCAAAGAGCTCCTCAACTGTGATCTGCTTCACTATTGTGTGAGAGCTCTGGTGGGTAAAAAGAACAAATCAATGAGAGTTGATCTCCAAATGTTTAACCAAAAATAGGATTTCATTGCCACTAGAATAAGAATCTCTATGTTTTCTTTGACAGTCTTTGTTGTAGGGAGGAACAGAATAAACTACAGGGCTTAAATTACTCATCCACAAACATCTCTGTAATGTACGTACCTTTTGAGGTTGTGATGTGCTGTGGGGATGTTCTGTAGGGTTGATAGCTGCTTTCAGGTGTGGCTCTGTAGGCCCATCTGTTTCGTATGCACGACCCTGCATCGCAACACAAACGTACATAGAAATTCAATGGTATTTTCAAATAGAAAGCCAGAGGATAAACACATAGACTTCACTTGTTTTTACAGACACCTCAAACCTAAACTAATCCCAGATTAAGTCCCACTCTAATACTACAAATGCCACATTCACGTTTTTGTATACGTCATCTGCTATGAAATAATTTCTCTTTTGTAAAATCATTTTGTCAGTGCAACAAAAACAACATATGTTCATATCTGCAAGTGTGTGTTGCCTCCTCACTCTCTGGTATTCTTCCTTGGCTTTGCTGAGCAGTTCCAGGATATCGATGGGCCTTGGTTCTGCAACGCCATTGGTCCTCCTTGGCTCTGCCCTCTCTGGTGACTCTCTCTGGACATGCTCTGCCTCTTGTTTTACAATCCTGGAGGAGAGTGAAAGCTTGACAGGTTGTCTTCACGCCTAAGTGGTACTTGATGTGTCATATTTGAGCTGCACTGTCAACTAACCCCTAATGGATGAAGAAAACCCAGATAAATAAGACATGTTGAGCAACTTACTTGACCATCAGTTGAGCGATACGTTGACAGTCCCTCTTGTCATAGAACCAAATACTGTAGATACCCACTGCAAGAAGAACACAAATACTACATGTTATTGCTTAAAAAAATATGTTTCTGTGCTCAGTTATAAAATGAAATAAATCCAATGCCCCCCCCCCCCCAAGAAAACAGAAGACTTATTACACAATAAATTCAAATCCAAAAATAGCAGGTACAGCTTGTTAGCTTGAAAGGCTTGTGTGTCATTTGTTTGTGTGATGAAACACTGTCGTATGGAAGTTCCCTCAGGAGGCTGTGGTAACCTAGCAACTTGAGTGTTTGTCTTCCTGCATCTACTGCAACCAAGGGGAATATGGAAAGGTGTAAACAGGTGTGTGTGAGTTTGTGTGCGTCAAACAACTGAGCCTTCTCGAAACAATATTCTCGGACTTGTCACCCTCAGGCAGAGAGAATTCACCAGTAGGTAACGAGGCTTACAGCAAGAAACAATCATCATTTTCATCATCCTGAAGAATCCAGCTTCCCTGTGTTGGTCTCTGCTCTTCAATCAACCTTCTATCTTGCTCCTGTTCAGATTTACCCTTGTTTACAGCAGAAGAAGGAATCTAAGAACAATCTTGAAGCTGTCTCTTTCTCTCAACATCTGAAATGTGGACATGTCCGACCAAGTAATGCCTCAGACGAACCTAAGGATCCTCAGCCGGTAAGTTGCCAGGGGAAAAACCAGGACACTCACAGGAAGAATTAACTCTGACCAGTCTTCCAGAGGTGACCGTCAGCTGCCAGGGATCGGAAGCATCTCCAACACAACCTGAGGAATATCCATGTTTTTTTCTGTTTTTGTTGAACACATCTGTCACTTCAACCCACTCTGAGGACTTAGGATGCTAAGTACTGGAGAAGCTGCTCTGGTGTGAAGACTAACAAGAAAACTACATAATGTCTTCCATACCTGCCAAGCTGATGGGCAAAACAAGTCCAAAAGGGGAACAGTCAACTCTGACGCTGACCCTGGCCATGTTATTTTTTCTGATAAGCAAACAATTGGGAAAACAATCAAATTCCTTGTTGGTTGCCTTGATGAAAGTCCTTTTTAGACTTCTGATCGATTACCTCGGTGGCAATGCTGTCAGTTACTTTCTAAAGCTCTGAGGAATTTCTTCACTTTTCACCTCATTACTGCAGAGCGCTTTCAACAAGGCCAGATGAGTTTGACTGCGACATTGGCATTAGATGAAGCCATCAACAAATGCACAACTTGTATAGTAAAATATAGATTCATTGATTTAACCTTAAGGTCTCTAGGCTGCTTTTGCATCAATGGAGAACAACATCAACAGTGGTCAAAGCAAGCTGAAACGGTTGCCGCCTGGACGACCTTCATGACGTCATGACTGAAAAAGTCGCCTCTGAGGAAATTGTTTTGCTCAATGTGACTCCAAGACGACACAATGACCTCAAGCAAAGGGGAAAAGAGATGTTCCAGAGAACGCTGAGGAGGTGTTTGTTCGGCATTTTCAGAGGTACTATTTTGATCTTTTGCACTTAATGTGTGTGGCAGTGAATGTCACTAACACCTGTTTAACTGTTTACTTGGCATTTCAGAGATATGCAATGATACAGCAGTGTTTCCTGACAGTTGTACAGAAACTAGGGCTAGGCGAAATTACTTCAAATCAATATTTTCATTATTTCAAATATTTATTTTCCTGGATAAATGGGGCGTTTCTTCTTCTGAAACAATGAAGTTAAAACACTGCGCTGCATCATAAGAAAAACTTCTCTCTGTCTGTGTGTGTGTCACTTTGTGCCTGTTGTGCTTCACACAAATTGACCATTTATTTCGTTATTAATCAATGATGTCTGATCATGAATCCGGATCATTCCTGTCTCTTTAATACTGATTTCCTGGCTGTGGGCATCACATAACATCTCATGTTGTGTGTGAACTACGTGTGTGTGCAAAATGTTGGACTTTTTTTCAATGTTTTTAAATATGTCTCCTAAACTTTGGAGCGAATCAAATTTTAGCCCATGATGGCATAAAAGGAGGTTTGTAATGATATCTACTGTTTTAGTGTCTCTATTACACATAACACTCACAGTTGCCGTTCCTATAGAGCAGGAAGGGATCCTGCAGCTGGAACTCCAGGTCTTTGTTGATCGGCTCCACCAGGTTCTCTGTGCTCAGTCGGTTCATGATGGTGAAGCCATGGTGAGGGGAGGCAGTCCTGAGAGGAGAGAAGATAAAACCTGTTTGAGTCCTTATTGTTGGTCTGTATCCATGAAAAGAATTATAATTTTGCAAACTAGTTGGGAACAACTAGGTTATTTGCACAAATTAAAGATGGTTAGGAAGATTTTCTGAAACTTGATGTGGCATAGAATGAACAAGTTGAACAGTTGATCGAGCAATTTGCTTTCCTCCCTCCCTTTTAATGTGAAGATCGATAACGTATATACTGAACTATGGACCTTTGCAATCTAATTGAGTTCTAATTGTGCACAATATGCTATGAAAGCAAATACAAGAACAACAAAGATGAAGGTATTAGAGATGTCCATGAATGTGTCTTTGACGATACGCAGTTCACGTTTGTTTACAAAGACTGCGGCCTACACACGTGTGCGGACTACGTCAAGTGACAGCGCAGAGGAAAGTAACGTTGAACAAGACCGCAACCTTCATGGTTGTTGAGCCACACGACTCATAGAAACACTTGTAAATGCTCACCTGGTATAAACAAACAGGGTGCCCTCGATTTCGGTCTTCTCCTGAAATGAAACGTGACGTTATGAGTCAAAAACAACAACCGCTAATCCGAAACGTGCTAAATAAGAGCAACGAACGTTTGCTATTAGCATAACCAGCTACCATGTTAGCTCAGGTAAGAGGACGCTAAGTTATTGCTCAAGTCGTTACAACATTCACAGAATGACACTGGTATCAAAACAAGTGCGTATGTGAGTGTATCTACATGAGCTATACTCAGACCAATGCTAACACATGCCTTACTTGTTTTTTTTCTGTTTTAGCGATGAGCTAGCGTTAGCATGCTAAGTGGATACACAAAACAGTTTGCGCTCTTTTGACAAACTCACCCATTCGTTCGTCTTGGAGTTGAAGTTGTAGAGAGCCACCTGGCCGGTGACATCGAGCAGTGTGTTGATGTACGGGTCTTGTCTCTGTAGAGCTGCTAAGCTCATCATATGTCCCGCATTTAGCGTCTCCATCTTGGATGTGACTGTTGCTCCCGCACGGTTGGATTTCTGCAGACACTTGAAACTTCCGCTGTTCCCCGGAAATCACAGCTGTGAGGTTTGTGTTTATTCTGCGAGCACCAGTCTGAGATGCAGTTCAGGTTGGTCTCACGTTGGTCAGAGTGCAGCTAAATGTACATGTTTGTAGTCATAGGTAGTTCACCTCGTGATCTTAGCTTAGCTTAGCTTAGTCGGTGTGCTTTCGAAAATCAAACTAGATATAAAACAAACAAATAAAATGAATGAGTGAAAACCTTAAGCGATAAAAAAAACAGACCACGTTGATGCAAACGTTGCCACAATGGACAGAAGTTTTGCCAAAGCATTTGCTCGCCTCTGTGTTGATTAAAATAAATTACAAAAAGTAGCTAACTTGCCATGTGAAGATAACATTAATTTAAATGTAGCAGTGAATAGGGAAAAAGGTTAATTATATTAGCTGAGGGAATATATTTTACTTTAACTATGCTGAAATGATGGGGATTAAATCATATATTCACACACACATAATATATAAATATAATTTATTTTTTTTCTATTTGGTAAGGACAGTGTGCGTGCACAGAATCCTCCACAGTATCCTCACGTTACATAATCCCACAGTGCTGCGCTGCTGCTTATATTTTTGGGTCCAATCTGACACGTGGTTTTTAATCTGAGAACCTCCATGCATGACAGACCACAAGTGAAGGGCTGTTCACATGTTAAGTGAATTCACAAGGTTTCTGCAGGGCTTTGTTAAATCCTGACTTTTTACTAGGACACAGCCTAACCACAATGATATTGACAAGGGCTACAGAAGAATTCAGCCTCCTGGATTATCCCCAATATTGTATCCTATAATTTAATATTGTAGACTACTGATTCACATATCTTTAAATCCATCATATGTAAACTTCTGGGAAAGAGACAAAGCGTGTTTATTATTTCCAGTCCAGTTGAGCTGCAGCTGTCTGCTTTACCTGCCACTGCAGAGAGAACATTGGGATTATAATCCCGGGGATTACGTGCTGCCGTGAAACTGTTATCCTTCATACAGGCGCAGGTAATCCTATCACTGGTAACCTTCCAGCACAGCTCCCGGCAACTCAATTCCTCTCGAATCACCGAGGAGTGAGGGCAGAAAACGCCGCTATGAGGCCCCAGAGAAGAGCCAGGTGACAGAATGCCGTTCATTATAAGGGGAAGACCCCTGAGGGGTAAGTCCAAAGAGCTGGAGGACAGAGACTCTTTAGTGGCTTAACTGGAGGGGGTGGATGAGATGTGCTGTTTATCCTAAGATCCAGAAACCTCCGTCAGGAGAAAGTTCAAGCAGCCATGATATTTTTTTTTTGCATTATGGGCTTTGTCATGATTTAAGTCTGACACTGAACTAAAACATGGTAGGAAAGATGCAATAGCCTGCATGCTGCTGGCCTGAACATGCAGTTGTTTTAAATGTTGTTTTTACAGCTTTAGTCTCTATTTCCGAGCCAAGCTTTAGGAGCTGAGACTTTAATTTGTGTGCGTCTCTCTGTGGGTTTGTGTCACAGTCACATGCTTCTTAATGGAAACATAATTAATACAATTTAAGCAATTAGACCTAATTACCAACAGATGACTCCTTTTTGGCTTCACTGCCTGTTGTTCACTGCCAGCCATATGTCGTTTTCTTGTTTTGGCAGAGCTCAATTTATATAGCATAACATCAAAGTTTTTCAAATCACCATTTTTTACATAGACTGTATGATTCTTTAGCATTTTAGCCAAAAGTCATTTTGAAGTTTGAGCTGATGTTGGAAGTTTCCTGAAAGGCATGCAGGTGCATTTCCAGATCATGCATGTGTGTGTGTATGTTACTGAGCCTGTACGGAGTGAGGTCATTTTGGAAAAGTGAGGACATTTAGGCAGTTTCTGACCCACTTTCAAATTGGCTGTTTCAGGATTAAGACTTGGTTTTAGGTTTAGAATTAGGCTCAGGTTAGGGTTAGGCATTTAATTGTGATTGAGGTTATGGTAAGAGGCTAGTGAGTGCATTATAGCAATGAAGCATAGCAAGCAAATAATTAATTTTGAACGTGCAGATATTTTTTAAGGTTATGTTAAGATAAGGTTAGGCAAGTAGTAACTATGGTTAGGGATAATGTTTTGGTTAGCCTGTCCACAATGAATGGAAGTCAGTGCATAGTCCTATAATAAGGAAAGCTACGTGCGTGAGTGACTCCAGCAGCTACAGTCGCTCCAACTTGTATGAGTCCATCCCCGGACACAGTGACACACTGAGAGGAGTCATTGACGGACAGCAGTGGATTGTCTGCTGCTGTCCTCCTCGGATCCGCCGTGTGTCTGCGGACAGGCACCCGGATGTGGCGAAAATGTTTGGCGCTCCTCTCAGGGTCTGCTGCGCTCGGGAAACATTTCATGATTCAGGCTGAAGGTTCGGCTCGGGCGCGCGCGTCGACTGCTCCTCCGGATGATGTCTCCAGCGATGAGTTGGGTTTAAAGCGGATTGTTTCAATGTGGATGCGAGGATGCAAGAAGCAGATGAACAGTGTGGAGGTAAAAACCGTGCGTGGAGCGCAGGAGCAGAGTTGGAGCGCTGCGCGAGGGGGCGAGAGCGCCCGTGTGCTGTATTCCCTGGATGTCGGCCTATTCTATTCTATTCTCTTATATTCTATTCTATTATATTCTACTCTGCGCTATTGTGTTATATTCTACTCAGTTCTATGTAACTGTCCATAATCTGCTGTGTCCTTTTTCCAACTTATTCCAGTGATTAGATTAAGTATTTTCATTGTGAGCGCTGCTACATGGATGCAATGACATCAGTTATCAAATCCACTGGGAAGCGAGTTGCGACTATACTTCTTTAAAACTAAAAATGGTTGACAGTATTTATTATGTTATCATGGTCAAGTGATTGTTTTTGGACCATGTGACAAACTGTGCGTCATGCGTCCTGGAGAATGACACGCTAAACGAACTTTTCAAGTAAATCCCGTTAGTTTCTTTTAGTTTGTGTTGTAGCCTCAGTTGTCACAGTGTGGAAGTAGTCCAAACAAACGCTGATCCGTTTAAAAAGAAGCCACGGGTCAAACTAAAGTCGTGAACAGTTGTTGTGACGCGTCGTGTGACAGATGTGCGACACCCAGGGCTCACTCCTATAACCTCATCTCAGAGACAGCACACAGGCTGGTCATCTTTAAATCTATTAGTATTATTATTATTTGATCCTTTGGATTTGTGTCTTTTCTAAATATCTCTTTTTTTTTTATCAGGCTGACTTTTTCACTCAATCTGTTGCTCTTACAATACATCTCTGATGACATGTGTTTCTTCAAATTTGTTCATTTGTTCAACTGTGTGGGAGCTGCTTTATGACGTGTAATGTTGGTTAGCTGTGACAGTTATTCCCCGATGAGACTCTGCTGTAGAGTTGCTGTGAACCAAAGTGACTGTGTCAAGGACACTGTCTTTTTCACTGGAGCTTTGCATTGATTTTAATGACACAGTCTCTCTCATCCACACAGGCTGTCCAACTCTCTCTCTCTCTCTCTCTCTCTCTCTCTCTCTCCCCCCCCCCTCTCTGTCACTCTCTTCCACACTCCCTTCAAACTGTTCTTCTGCTTCTTCTGAAATTATCTGACAATTCATTATTTTAAAAACTCTTTATGTTTCACCAGTTTGCCCAAATGCAATTCTGACACTTACTCACAGAGTGCCATGTGACTATTCCCACCTCTTTTGTTTATACTCTCTCTTACAGCCTCAAAATCTCGTCTCTATTTCCTCCCCTCTCCCTCCAGGGGCACAGTATGCCAGCAACAAAACGACCACTCCCTCCACTGATGCCTCAGCCCTCTGGTCAGGAAGCAACACTCGCCTGCACCAGCTCCATCCACCAGAGCAGCTGCAGGCTCCGGCCAGCACCGGCAAGCCAGTGGGCACTTCTTATGGCCTCCTTGGGGTCAACAGTGGCAATCAGGGTGTCGGTGGCACTGGCTCCAGTGTCAGCCCGGTTCTCGCTTGGCACGCCGCCATTAGCGCCGCTCGCCAAGCACAGGGCGATACTGCAAAGCCTGACACAGACTCACGGCCCTCAGTTTGCACCACTGGACCAGCTCCTGTAGGCTCACTGGCACAGAGGAAGAGGCAGCAGTATGCCAAAAGCAAAAAACAAGGAGGATCTACCAACAGTAGGCCACCCAGAGCACTGTTCTGCCTCACCCTCAACAATCCGATCCGCAGGGCCTGCATCAGCCTGGTGGAGTGGAAGTATCCTTTATCCCAAAGACTGAGGCTCTGGTTGAATGGATGTGAGGTAGATGTTTGGGTGTCTGAATGGATTGTGTTTGTAAGTACGGACAGATTGTTTCATAGTGATTGAAATAACGTATCACTTTATCCGTGAAATAATAACCCGTAACTTCTTTGATGGAATGGACTTGCCGTATAATGTGCATGTGCTATACCTGAATTAAAGACGGCAATTTTGTAAAAGCTTGAATAAGATGTTAAATAAATGATCTCAGTGCTGATTGACATGATTCTTAAGAAGGTGGTGATAGAGGTTAGTGGTGTTTGTCTATTTTGAGAAATGACAAAAGAAATTACCAAACAGGGATTTGTGAAACAGAGAAATAAATGATAGTGTATAATATGAAACATTAGATGTTGATCTATCGTCGCACATTAATATATCATTATATCGCCCATATTTTTGTTTGTATTGCAGCAATTCACCAAAAAAAAACACAATTAACACAGTTCATACAAGATTTTCAAAAACTTCAAACTTCAAATAAGTCCTGATTATTTATTATTTATATTTATTATAATTGTGCTGTCTCTCTGAGATAACCATGTTCCTTAACTGTCTGTTTCCAGACCATTTGATATCTTTATACTGCTGTCTATTTTTGCCAACTGTGTGGCCTTAGCCATCTACATCCCCTTCCCTGGAGACGACTCCAATTCTACCAACCAAGAACTGGTGAGTGACACTGGAAAATACAGAAACATGGCTTGGTGATATTATCATTATCTAAACCACACTGCAGAGTATATATCCCCTTTAATGTAAAATCCACATGACAGCAGGATATGTTGTGATGGTTTGAATCAGCATGTTATATGCATTTCAGTTTTGTTAGCGGTCAGAAGGAATGCATTAAAATCAGGAAGATTCTACTTTAAACTTTAGTGTATTAGCTTGACAAGTCTTAAAATGTAGTTTTTTCCCAAGTTATCAACAAACGCATTGTCTCACTTAACTCCTGTGGTGTCCAGACCTACAGACAGATGTGTTTTTATTGCCCCAGTTTTATCCAATATTGAAATATACCACACACAGGTCAGCGATTGAGTAAATTATTTTCTAATAATTTGCATATCAATTTGCTCTGTATGTAGTTCTTCTGATGTTGCCTGCTTTGTTGTGCAGCAAAGGTTGAAAATGTTTCTCACACATATACTGCGCTGCTGATCGAGCCGCTATTTGTCATCAGCCAGATTACACACAAAAGCCAGACAACACCTTTGAAAGAGTGTGACCGGTTGGATGTGTGAGTTGCGTCAGAGGGCTTTCCTGACAATATTTGGATGGATGTGTCAGGTTTCATTGTTTTATTGACAAACGTAAACACCAGTACGCACACACGGACACACACAGACACACACACACATACACACCATTTTTTGGTGCCTCCATAATTACGATGTAGTTTGACAGCATGGAATTATAAACACATTAACAATCATTACCACACAATACATTACTACAATACAATATAGTGAATTCAATTAAATAATTTAATTAAGATCTGATTATGTAAAACATGATGTGATATGTTGAAATTTGCACCAAAGCAAACATTATTTAGACTGTAACATGTTTTTATATAGCTAAATATTACAAAACAATTAAGGTTTGAATAACAGTGATGGAAATTAACTCAAGGAAAGGATGAATCTCCTGTTTTTGTGAATTCACTTGATTTGACCAAAAAACAATTCACCTCACATGTAATTGCTAAAAGAGCAGCACATTTTGGTGTTGTTGATTTATTCATGCAGTGCCAACATTTGCTTTTTTCTCTGAGGCTGGCATAGGACCTTCTGAAGGGAATTGTGTGTGTGTCTGTGCGTGTGCGCGCATGTGTGTGTGCATGTTGAATGAATGAGAGATGGATACAGAAATATTGCATGTTCCTTTAACAGATGGGAATTATTCATACCGTCCAAGTCTATGTTCATCACTGCACAATGTACAGTATGTGTGGTGTGTGTTTTTGCATGCATGTGTGTGCACATTAATGCAGTTTTTTGTGTCTCTGTCAAGTGAACCAGTGTAAACACTGTAATACGAAAAAGACTCATCAGTGAAATTATATTAATATAATAACAGTATATTTAACAGTGTAAAAATGTGTGTTGTGGAAATAACAAAATATATTTAACCCCAGTAAAAATTTTCTCAACCTGCATCCTTCAAGCCTTTCTAACTAACGCCAGTTCTGTATCTCCATTCTCCATGTAATTGTATATTCCAGGATATCTGTTGACTTGACTGAGAGAGTGTGTGTAAGTGTGCTTGTGTATCTGTGTGGGAGAGAGAGAGGGAGCGAGAGACAGAGGGAGAGAGAGCGGGTTGAGGGATTAAGCAGGGCAGTGGATTAGTCGACAGTAAATGAGTGGAGGTTACAGAGAAAGAGGGGGGGAAAGAGAGATGGATGGATGGATGGGAGGATTGGTGGATGGATAGAGGTATAGGGCGGGAGTTTACAAGTGGGAGGGTCAACTGATAGTAGAAATCATGTCAGTCACATGACAGTGTTCATTGAAATCTCCTCTCATTTATCTACCTGCATTTTATTTAGTACATAGATCTCTCTATCTATCTATCTATCTATCTATCTATATATATGTTCTACATTTATTTATTGTATTATAGTAATCTGTCCATCTATCTATCTAAACTCTGTCTCTTCATATTTGTAATCCGTCTCTCTTCTCTGATGTCTACTAAATTGTTTTCCACTTTGTTTATTCTCCTTGATCTGTTCCCCCCCCCTTCAGTGCAGAGTGGAGAATGATGATTAATATCCTATTAAGCTGATAAGTGATTTAGAAGACTTATGACGGCCCCTTTGGTTGCTAGCTGACTAACATACACTGCTGATCATCATATAATCTCATAAGAGTCCTATATGAGTCTGCTGTATGAGCATATGGAGACAGAGATGCAGTCTGTGTGTGTGTCTGAGTGAATGGCTTAAAAGCATGTACTGTATGTACGTTGAAGTGGATATGCTCAGTTAAGCCTATGACAAGTGATTGAGACAATATTGTGTCATGATATAAAATAGTCAATTTAAATAGTAATAAATTATTGGAAAAATCACATAAAATCGACAGATAATCTGGGCATCCTGACGTGTGGAGTTACTTACATCATGTATAAACAATAATGCTGTATTGAATCTAATATGTACTGATGACCACTTATACTTTATCTAGTATAATTATGGTGCTGTATCTGCCAAAGTAAATAAAATCACATTATTTAAAACCGAATGCATATCCAAAGTATAGATCATTCCTGCAGTCTTTTGTTAGAACACAGTCCAGTGTATTTAAAAAAAAGATATGTTCAGTGGTATTTTAGATTTCACACTGTCACAGATTTTTTTTAGAACTTTGCATCACAATAATTATTATAAATATGAGAACCTTCCTCATAGGGAAGATATTGATTCGTTGCCCAGCTCTATCTGAACACCTTCAGTACTGCATATAGAAATCTGGCATTAGGTGAAAGGAGTAGGTGTGATGGTTAATAGTGTCTCGTTAATACTACAGTGCATGAGACAATATTATAGATAGTACTGACGGTGTAAAAAGTAGACAAAGACAATGTGAAGATGAATACTTTTAAATATAATTTCTTTATATCTGAAATGTCCTCTGAGTATCATAAGCTGAAGTCCTCCAGTGTGCAATCCCAGTTTACCTGACTGGTTGTGTTTGAATTCTGTCCTCATCATCGGACTCCATTTTAACTGCATGTGGGTGAGTCTTCACATGAACAGCATGAGTCAGAGATCAGAGGGTAAATAATCTTTTGGCTAATGCAGGGTTGGATATCGAAGTTAAAACCATGGTAACAAGCCACATAATTTTCTTATTAAAAACATAGGCAAGCTCTGCAGCAGGGGAGTTTCGAGGGCCTGAGACTTGTCATGACATCAAGGCAAAGCACACTGCAGAAAACATCCAGATGTCCCCCGAACATGTGTGTGTGTGTGTGACATAAAGTTGTTTGTCTTCACTGTGATTCAGAAAGATATTTGAGTTGGTTGTATAACAGCAATCATAAGACCTGAATGCTATTTTAGGTGGGCAGGTTCATCCAAACATCAGCACAGGAGAGAGTTTATTCAGTTTTTTCTGTGTGTTTTCTTTGTGTGTTGTGTTGTGTGTGAGTATGTTCATACAAGTGTGTTGTTTATCAGTGAGATATGGTGAAAGCAGACTATAAAATTCCCTAGAGGATGATACATCTGCCCAAACTGTGCTGTGTGTGTGTGTGTGTGTGTGTGTGTGTGTGTGTTTGTATTTGTACTGTGGATCTATATTCACACAGCCCCCTATGCCTGTGTTGACTTCAACACAGTCTGTACATGCGCATGTGTTGCTGTTGCATTCCTGCATGATGTGTGGTTTTTGGGTTGCATGTGTTTGTGTTCCTCTACGTGTGTGTGTGTGTGTGTGTGTGTGGATTCTGAGAATGTCAGGTTGCGTCATTTCTCTCTGTCAGGGATTAAAGGTTTAGAGCAGAAGGGAAATGAGAGTCACACTAAGCAACACACTACTCCATCAAGCACGTGAGCATGTGTGGATGTGACTTTTTCTTTGCATGTTTGTGTTTGTATGTGTGCGTTGCAATGAAAGATGGAGATGCACACAGACTGTGCCTGGGAAATTAGAGGTTTCTTCATGGAGGTTTTGAAGTGAGAGCTGAAGAATTAAACAATATCCTAGACTTGAGTGATTTTGTATTGTTATTGTCTGATCATGTGTCGATATCAATATATTGTGTTACACAACTGTGCTCATAAAGTGTTTTCTATCCAGGTCACTAATCAGATTATTTTGAATTCTATAAATCATTTAAAAGTCTATTTCATATAAGAATCAATTGTTTGGTTTGATCAACATTTCCAAACACATTTTATGCCAGAAATCAGAAATAAAAGTATTAATTCTTGCATTGATGATCATTTATGGAAATGTCAAACATTTATATATTGTATTATATAACAGGAAAAAATATCATATTCATATTGTAATGATGATTTCAAATATCTTAGAAACAGTATTGGTATAATTTGTCTGCCATTTTAAGACCTAAAAACAATAGAGAGAGTGAAAGAGCGAGATTGATTAATTGTATTGGTGGCAGCGTGTGACTGGTTGCTGATCAGCCTGCAGGGCAGTGTTTTCATACCAACATACATGGTCAAACACACACACACACACACACACACACCCACACACACACACACACACACACACACACACACACACACACACACACACACACACACACACACACACACACACACAGCTGACATTTTAAATGTATGTCTGTCTTCTTGTCTGTTTGCATGTGTATGGATATATGTGTGAAGGTGTGTGTGGAGTGTTTGAGGTGAAGCCATCTCATTAGCATTCAGGCAGACAGAAGCATGGACGGTGTGTGAGATAAGCTAAGAGGTAAAAGGGACAGTGGTTGATGTTTGAGACTGAGATGGATTTCATCAGTGTTTGAGGTAATGGTCAAAAGTTATTTAATAGACACAACACATCTTCATCAATTTGTCAACTCATTTTAGCAAATAGAATATGCACTGCAAATACTCACAACACAACCGAATGAAAAAATCTGACAATGGGAAAATGGAATTAATGCATGAGTCTGGCCTCAGTCATGTGAGACCATATCAGCAGTGTCAGAACAACATGTTTACATTGAAGTGACAAAGCTCTTTGGTGGCTGTATAATTATGATGCATACAAAAGAGAGTCTCAGTGGATTTTCACGTAGGAGGTTGCTGCTCACTTCTTAATTCAAAAGTCTGTGAGGTTTCTTTTAACCATAACCAACATTGTTCTGTGACCTTAACCACACCACAGTCCTCTAACCTTGATGACATACTAACTGGGATCTGGCTTCAAATGTAACCAAGTTGTGTTTGTGTCCAAACCAAAGTGTTTACATAGCAGTGTCACATTGAAGGACAGAAAAAGGATAGAGAGTGGGTTGGACAGTGTTCACAAGACCGCATGTTCTTAAAGCTTCATTTACCCTGTTGGTTCTCTCACTGTCCACGTGTTATGATTGTGTGTGTTTGTGTGTGTCTGTGTGTGTGTGGTTGTGTGTCTTATAAAATGTCAACAGCAGTTTCACATGCTTCAGGGTCTGTGTGTGCGTGTGTGTGTGTGTGTGTATAAGAGTGACACAGATAGTCCTGCCATGATAAGTCCAATGACAAATAAGCAGACCAACAAAAAAACTTATGACAATTGTTATAATAGACGCATCATCTCAATTATTAAGTAAAAATCCCCCAAAAATCTTATTACAGCTTCTGAAATGACTTTTTAGTCACTGTTAACTGGGTAGAAGTGTAATTTGCATTTATTTGAAATATTCTGATAAAATAAAGAAGATGTTGGAATTGTAATCAATATACATAATTATATATTGAAATCAATTGAAGGGGTATAATACTTGTCAACTACTGATTTTTCAGTATTGTTTAAAGTGTGGTTTGTTTGTCCCTGTAGTGTTTTCCATGAATTACCAAGACTGTGGTGGCCTGCCATTCTAATTTTGTCCTGCCAAAGTTTCATTGTCAACCATTTTCAATACTTTATATATCATAAAAAGTTCTTTAACTTAGTACAGTTGCTTCGTCGTGCAGCGCTCTTTGCCCCCACACTCTCTCTCTCTCACACAAACACATTAATCTATCTGTCATAATCAGACTGGTCATTAGCAGCATGGGGAGGAATCCCATCACTTTTGTAATCTGTCAAAACATCCATAAAGTTTTTACTGTCCTGAGCAGGAAAGTAGAACTTGTGGTTTGTGTGCTCTGTGATGGGCGTGCAGTTTGTCAGCAGGCATACCACTGACCCTCTCTGTACCTTTCACTCAGCCCAGTTGCACATCAGGGTGAACTGCGTACTGACAGTCAACCCTCATCAGTCTGATTCTTGCATCATTATGAAGTATGTATATATGTCACATATTTAATTCCCTTGGTTTGCCTAAAACATTTCTGTCTGATTATATATGCATAAATATACATTGATTCTGTAAGAATCATTTTTATTTTAGAGCGTAGCGTGTGCAGTCACAGTCAAAGTAGCTTCAGGACATCTTATAGCTATATTACATTGTAGTCCCATCATTGTGAGTCATTTCCATGGCTCTCTGTGCTGTCACTCCTCTTCATCATTACAATGTGTTAAATATAGACTTTGAATATCTACA